ATGAGGCTTCAGACTCTTTCCCACATATCCAGCAATGTGGGCTCCCACTCCATGTCCAATCAGATGAACCTGCTGGAACGTCAGCTCGTGATTCGCCTAAAACTGTTCAATGATGCAAAGTTCCTTAAATTTCGCCACCTCAGCGACTTACTAACTTTTAGAAAATTTAACATAGAGGCGATTTCTAATGCAACGACGCGGGCATTTGCGATGGCTTGATCGTAAGGGGGACCAGATCCAGCATGCCAATCAACCGATAATATGTTGCATCCTTTCGTCCGGGCTTTTAGCACTCTGGATATGTGCTGAAAAGTGTTTTGATCCAACAAAGACGAGTATTATTTGGCTAATTTTACGTTGAAAATGTTATAGACACTTTTTTCGCTCACAGGTTTCACATTTGGCATGAGAAAACAACACAAAATACTGTTTTGCTCGGCATCAAAAAGTTTCGTCAATAAAACGGATAATTGGAAACTAAAAGAAACAATGTTGGGTTGATTGTTTTAAAGCGAACATTAGCGACGCCCTACTTATTTAAATTCGCTCATTTTCCGCTCCCAAGTAGTGCAAAGTGAAAAAAATTGCATTGTTGCGGGTTGAAAAAGTTAGTGAAACAAATGGCAAAAAGCGATGTAAAGAAGAAACGCGTGTTTTCTAGAAGAACTGCAATACTTTCACTCATCACTCTCACTCATTGAAATTTATGGAGCATAAAATCGCACAAAGACTTACCTTTATCCAGCCGCTGTAGCCGCTGCTGGTGAAATCGTGAACGAGCACAAAGAGAAATTTGCCTTTAACATATCCGGCACTTTCGATGGATTCCCTGTTGGTAGTAACCACTTGGCCAAAGATGGCGTTCTTAAAGCAACGAAGAAACTCAGCTAATTGCGGAAAATTGCCATCACTTACCACTTGTCGGGTGCCGTTTCTTCTTAATAGCACAAATTCGGTTTGGATGACCTGCCGATCCAAAGGCTTTAGATTAATCGGGCGGAATTTGTCGTGAAACCAGCCCTCGTTTGCGGCCACGCAACCCAATTCATTGTAGCATTTGGTGAAAGTTTCTGGAAAACTTCGAGTTTCCGATTTTGCTTAGAATTTCCTTAGAAAAAGTCACCTTTTGCCTCCATGCTGGGCTCGGTGGTGGCGGCAGTTTCCTGCTGCTCCTCTTCTTTCTCATCAGGTTCGGCAATAATTTCGAATTCGAGGATCAACACTAGGAGGATGATGAGTTTATGCATTCGTTGGAAAATTGGAGGGTGACAGTGACAAAAAGTCCACTGATTAGGAGGTTGAATAAGGCAAAGGATCGACTAAAACCCCACCATGTTCTAAGATCAATATATTTTGTCAACAATAAATCGTTTTTAAATTATCTAAAATTTACAAATATCTCTCCGATTAGCCTAGATTTATTTACACTTTGTACAATAATGGTTTCACCTAAGTAATTATCATTTGGTTTGTTTCGTTAAAACGGTTTTGCATAAATTGTTTTTTGATTCTCCATTGCCAATTTGCATTTTACGTAGGCCCACTTCACATTTTCAAATGTTTTTCGGGCTTTGAAGCCCTGCTCGATGGAATTTTCTTCCTTCATSAGGCAGTGGGCGAAGTTCAACTACTGGATCCCCTGTGGCCTCATAAATCCAACAGGGGATCCAGTAGTTGAACTTCGCCCACTGCCTTATAAAGGAAGAAAATTCCATCGAGCAGGGCTTCCAAGCCGGAAAAACGTTTCCAAATGTGATTTAACCGGCTGTGAAATCCTTCGCAGACTCACTTCAGTTCCCTTCAACGTAAAACAATTTACATTCTTCTAAAAAAATCTACATCATTCAATCTGGTGCATGGGATGAGCACGGTGTAAAACTCTAAAAGTTCGTTAAAAACTTCGAAAAGAGAGCGAAATGAACGCAATAAAATTGAATCTTTTATGCGCTTAGCGAGTGCAAAAGCCGATGAGGACTTGAAGTGAAAATCAGCTATTTGGTAGGATATACGAACTAATGAATTCTCTAACATTAATCGAGAATTGTTCACATCACGTAGCTGAAGTCCTACGCTTGAAAGGTTAAGTATAATATGCCTATATTTCCAATAAACTCTAAAATATCAACAGTAGGATAAAATCGAGTATCGCCTATAATCTACGAGTAGACGGAGAAAGTTCTTAGTTAAATTGACTCACATTATTATGGACTTATGAGGGAAACACAGTTAATCCATAGCAGGTAGAACTCACGCCCGATCCAGGCTATTCCTATTTGTTGGACCCATCTTGTTTACGCGCCTTTTCGATAGAAATTTTCGATTTCTTGATCATTCGCAACAGTAACAATTTGCTAAAAAACTATGTGCAGAAGTCTAGTAAGCCCACTTGTCAATCTCCAACTATAATCTACGATTTTATCAATTAAATGCATAAGACTTTGTTTCTTCATTCTTCCTTAGTAGTTCCTAACGCTAGTTTAGTATGGCAGTATAGCATATCAGCTTCCAACTACAAAGTTCATTCTCACCAAGGGAAAATTTCAATTCAGTTAATTAATCTAATTAAAGGCTGGAGTTCAGCGCAATTCATCTGCTCCGAAAAACTCTACTCAATAATTCAAATGGTCGTTTAGTAAAATATCACTGTACAGTCTAAGGCCTTGAAAATTAGGTACAAATTACTCCTAATAACCATAATATAGATCTACTTATGTCTAGTAATTTCCTGGACATTGTCAACTATTCAGAAAAACTCCATGGGAAACACGCGATTAATTTCATCGTTAACAATAAACGCAAACTGCCAAATCTATGGCTAATCTTCAGTGGCCGTTGGTTGCGCTTTGGCAGTCTTCAAGTCGGATCAGAAGGCTCTTCTTTGTCCCGTATGGCCTTCAACAAGTGGCATCGCAGCTCAGACTCTGAGCTCGTCCATAATTTCACCAACTCCTCCTTGGATAAGCAAGCTAACGGCGATCTGCCTGAAATTCAACATCTTGCCATCAAGGGCGGATTCAGGCGCCCCTCCCCTTGGTGCTGGGTTTACTGGCTAATTTTGCTAATTTTACAGAGAAAAAGGGAATAATTAATTTCTACTACATCACTCGCCCCCTGACTTGAACGTTGGATCCGTCCAAATTTAGCTTTCTGGGTCAAAACTGCTCGAATGTCCTCCACTAGTGTTGTTATGACTGAATCAATTTTCTTGAAATCAAGACTTTTTTGAGAAAACTGGCAACATTTCCTTATCGATGGTTGGCTTGATAAAAAGGCCATTTAGTTCTCTCTAGAATGATGTAAAAATGAGCGTTCTGGCTGATTTTTCGTCCGAGAAAGGAGCAAAAACGGGACGGAAAACATG